TCATAAATAAATAAATAAACCATATCGATGCAATGGTTAAAATGAAAGTGGAAATAATAGACAATTGTAGGCTAGTTTTCACCGCTCTTATTTGAATGGCTTATCCAGGTTCCAATCTATCGTTATTTTAGTTTGTGGCATATGGAACACACTAGTACATAAACTGTACAAGGCTTTGACAACTGTAATTTTGGTTTTAGTTTTGGCTGATCATTGTTTTTAATGTCTTGTTCATCATCCAGAATCCCTGGTTCCCATATAAACCAAATAAAGGAAGCAAATAAACAATAATGCTCCAGCTGGCCTTTTCCAAGTTTGGGATGTTGTCAAAGTACTGATAAAAGGGATGGTATTTATTTATGAAATTATCCCCAACCTCATCTCAGGCTAGAAAGCATGGACACATTAGTCATTTTACCCATCATAGTCCCATGTCAGTTTTCAATTGTCGTATAGAATGTACAATTCTTTCATCTGTTTGTGGTGCAGTGCAGGAGGTATGTATATCAGAGAGGAAGCAACATGAATATACTAAGAGACATTTGCATGTCTTGATTTAACAAATTCTATTTAGTACAAGGTCATCTGTTTTGTAACATGTTCTTTAAGGTAATCCTATATTTCCATGCCTTCAGTTATGTAAGATACTGGATTAACTCTAAAAATAGAAAAATCTGATGTAGGTGCTCTTCTAATATGCTCTTCCTTATTTATTTTGACTTGATTTTGAGAATAGGTGGTGAAATTTGTAGAATCAACCATTCAGAAGGAAACTTTTGGATGTTTTAAAATACTCCACTGTTTTAGGCTTTTTTTGCTCCCCATCTAAGAAATCTGTGCAATCACATTGCATTTCCACGTTTTGACATTAATTAGTCATCACTGTGGCAAAGTAAAACCTATATTCGTTAGTGCTGCTTTTCCACACAACTGTGGAATGACAATATTAGACATTATAAATCATTAGTGGGGAAGAAATTGTTTGTTCCTTTGCCCATTACTGTTACAAACCTTTAAACCATGGCATATCATAAATAATCCAGAGAAAAGAAGTTAGAAAAACACCCATAGTCAGCTCTTTCAGTCAAGATGTGGTTGGACAAGTTAAGGCTTGCCTGTCATCAGGAAGTGTCAGTAATGCTAAAGCACAGCCTCAGAATATATGTAGCAGTGATGTTAGGACATCTGAGCATATGCAGGAAACATTTTTCTCTGAGAACTGAATAAAAGGGTTTCCTGTCAAATAGGCATTAGACATTGGCAATTGCATATAATATTGTATTTGCAGGCTCATTTAGGACTAGGATTGGTGTATATCTCCATTCAATTATCAAGTCATATGTTAGAGAACAGTAACCTTTTCAAAGCTTCAATTCCATTTGTAAGAGCTCCCATGATTCAAATCCTCTGGTGTGAAAGTCACAAGATTTCAATTATCTCATGGAAATCACCAAAATATTATTATAGATGATTTGTCATACCTGGTTAGCATTTAGGTGGGAGACTTTCAGGAAATCATAGGGTAAAAGGCTAGACTAGGAAGTTGAAAAGACATCCTGAAAGAAGACAACAACAAGCCACTTCCATTTTGTTGCAAAAAAATAAAATAAAAAAACCCCTGTCATGATGGGTCTATAAAATTACTTGGAGTCAAGCTGAACTCAGAAACTTCACCTTTTAATCTGCATCTGTGTTGACAGAACCTTGAGGAAAATCAGGCTGTTTGTGTGATTCTGTAGTAAAGCAAGATCCTTGGGAACAATTCAATGTGCCTAAGTAATGTAGAAAAACATTGTATCAGCAATCAATGCAACCCTAAACTTTTGCTTCTAAAAGACAGGAAAAAGGATGGAGAGAGAAAAGTTGGTTGAAATGAGTGACTGACAAGGGAACAATTCATCAGAAGTTCTCCAATCATAATTCAACAGGATTAAAAATATTCTTTATCTACAAATATAATTATGACCTATAAAGAGGTACCTCCTTTTTATATAAAAATGTAAATGTAAAGTAACTCAACTCCCATCTCTATACCTATTTCTATAAATTTTCATGTTTCCTGGAAGAGACACTTGGAATACTGCATCCAGTTTTGGTCACCATGATGTAAACAAGATGTTGAGATTCTAGAAAGAGTACAGAGAAGAGCAACAAAGATGATTAGGGGACTGGAGGCTAAAACATATAAGGAACGGTTGCTGGAATTCGGTATGTCTAGTTTAATGAAGAGAAGGATGAGGGGTGGCATGATAGCAGTGTTCCAATATCTCAGGCGTTGCCACAAAGAAGAGGGAGTCAAGCTATTCTCCAAAGCACCTGAAAGCAGGACAAGAAGCAATGGATGGAAACTGACCAAAGAGAAAAGCAACTAGAACTAAGGAGAAACTTCCTGACAGAACAATCAGTGGAACAACCTTCCTCCAGAAGTGGTGAATGCTCCAACACTGGAAGTTTTTAAGAAGAGATTGGACAGCCATTTGTCTGAAATGGTATAGGGTTTCCTGCCTGAGCAGGGATTGGACTAGATGACCTCCAAAGTCCTTTCCAACTTTATTATTATTAAGATGAAACATCTGCAATTTCCCCAGATACTGTTCACTAAAAAGAGGGCAGTTGATTTCTTTGTCTTACAGTTCTGTACAAACTGTCTTGCCTTTATAAGACTGAAATTGGATCGGTTTGCTCTCCATGGAAGGGGCCGCACCAAATGCTTGTTCTGTCCAAAACAAAAAATAAAACTTTTTTCTTTCCAAATTTCTAAACCTAATTCCAGTTCTCATTTTATGTGAATAGAACTCAAACTTGGTTATGTGTGGATTTCAGCTTCCAGAATCTCTTAGCCAGCATGCTTTCTGTGGAATTCTGGAAATCAAAGTCTACGCATCTTAATATGCTAAAGATTGAGAAATTCTGGTATAAAGTTTGATGAAACTGACCTCTCCTACCAGCACACTCTTTCCTAAAACCAATCTTCCTCTTCCTGTGCCTGAAGCAAACTATTTGTTCAGCAATTTCTGACTCTGGGCATAATTTTCCCAGGACTGTTGATCAGTAACTGCTTCTTTAACATCATGCGTTAGAATCAGGCAAACAATAACTTCCATGGTATCTATCTTTGTTGTCCGTGTGATATCTTTGCCTTTTGATATTTTGCTTGAGATATATTTGTCCTATCTTAGTCTTAGGTCTAACTATTTCATAGGATTGCTTTGCAGGCAAAATGGTGGTTGGGAAGGAAGCACAATCATTGCCTTGAGCCACTCAGAAAAATAAAGGTGTAGTATCAATAAATCAAACAAAGAACAGATATAAAAATGCCTATAAAATGCCAATAAAACAGAGAGGGAATTTTGTTTCATGACTATCCTACACAAAACTCTACCAGCACAGAACCTGCTACCTAGTTTAGAATGTACATTAACTTATGTTAGAAATATTGTAAGAGCTAAATACAAACCACCTTTCTATTCTGCTTGACAAATCAGTTTTCTGCCCAAAGCACTTGAAACAAACAGGAATGAAACAACCTATCTAGTTCTTCTGTATCAGAAGCCCTGATTATTTCTTTAATGTGGCAATATTCAGTTCCTGCATCTTTCTGCCTTGTTTTGTTGAAAACTTTAATACAACAAAAGACAAAAATATAACATGCACAATAACATATCCCTCTAAATATTTCACATCATAGTGTGAAACTAAATATGTTTGTTTTATACCAACAGCCGGTTTCAAAATGCTGCAGTACAAGACAAAAACAGATAACTGGAAAGCACTGAAAGGTATGAAGCCTAAGCTAGAAAATGTGAGGAAAAAAAATGTAGTCAAGTGATTCACACACTGATGATAAACAAACGTTAGTAATCTGACATTTAAGTTTGCCACCCTCAAGCAGTAATAGGAATGGTCTCTCTGACACAGTAATTCTTAGAGGTGTTTTCTGATGACATTTGGCTGACTTACAGCACTTTTGCCCAATAGCAGGAGTTGCTTTTTTGTTGATATTTCTTTAACTACAGTCTGCTACAGGATGTGTCCCTCAAATTCTAGGAAATAAATTTTGCATTTAATGTGTGCCAAGTAACATTTGGTGCTAAACAAGTCATGGGTGATCCAGTTTGTGTCAATGATTAGTTGCTGTTTGAGGACAATATTTCAGTTGGTTTTCCAGGTTAGAAAATTTTTCACCCTATTTTTATATTTTTCTCAGCTTTTTATATTAAGAGAGGGAAGTTATTCCCCAATCTTCATTTTGCAGTAAACCAATTTCTATAAAGATAGAATCTAATGCAGGGTTTTTCTTGCTGATGTAGAGGAATGAAGACAGGATAATTTCCATATTCAAACACATCTAATTTCTATATGCTCTAGTCTATAGTCATATGGGCACCCTTGAAATCTGCTTCTTATTTTCCTTATGTATTTTCAACAAAACTTTATGGGAAATCAAAAATCAGAACATTTAAAACAGAAACGTAGATGATTTTCCCAGAATAGAAGTTATATTTCTCAGATTATAACGAAGGAAATAAATGTCATAGGAGAATTAGCAGTTGTAATGGTAATGATGATTTTGATGATGATGACTACGCGTTCAAAAGTAAAATAAAATAAAATAAAATAAATTGATTAATAATTTTGAATAAATGTGACAGTTTATTTTTCCACAAGAGGGCAGTGCTCTAAAAACCAAAAGAGATACTTAACATTAATATTGTCTGATCTCTCATTTGAATTGTGTGTATTCCATGTCATCTAAGAAGTAAATATATGGGGGAATCCTGTTCATCTTAGTGAACTCTCAACCATTTTAGAAGTGGCATGTAAAACCTGAATAACAGATAACATTTTTAGAAATGTTTTGCCATAACATAATACAATTGGAGATACTATAGTAGAGGCATTTTGAGTATACCCAGTCACTTTGCTTTGCATTCTCACCCAAGTGAAGCTGATCTGCATGCAAATGTCAGTGGATACCAGCAGGAATGGCATCTAAAAAGCTGCTTTAACACATTGAAAAAATGAAGCTTCATATGTACTTTTCATGATTCCTTGAAATGGAAACACCCTGAAATATAGTATCATTATTACTTCTCTAGAAAAGGTTGAACAGTCTGCAATGTCTGAGAATTTTCCCTATTAGCTGCCACATTAGAACTCATTTTATCCATGACAATTGGTAGGAAAGAAATTAAAGAGTGATATTGTGATGACATTACGTGATAAATGTTAAGTGTAATGTCATTATGGGAATGGAAGAACACAAGATGAACTTAGAGATAGTCCTGCACCATGCTCAATGTTTTAGTAGTGGAAGCTAGAGAAAAATACATTTTTTAAAGGGGTGGGGTAGGAAGGAGATTAAAGCAAAGTCATTATGACATGTTATCTCTGGATATGGATCTAATTACCATGGAAATCAGAGAGCCTATTGATTTATGAAACACAATACTTCAAGTTATGCACACATACTTGTACATATTCACAAATCTGAATATGTTCAGAGATGAATATGCCCGGTGATGACAATTATGTACTTATTGGAAAAAAAATACAGCAGGGAACTTATATAATAAAATCACAGCACTCCCTTTCCTGTAAGTATCTGTTATGACATGACGCAAGTTATTCATGCCTCTAACTCACATGAAACTCAGCTATGCATAAACATTAATTGATGGATGCCTGAGAAGGGTGTAGTCTCTTTAAAAAGATTTTTAAAGAATGATAAGCTGTCACAGACAACTAAGCAGGAACAAACTATTGATATGGCATTCCATCCATAATCACACAATTATACACAGGAATTTTTAATTGTGGGGAGACAAACTCAGAGGCAAGCTTGTAGTTCTACCCTTCTTAAGTTTATGGAAACTTTTTGGCAGCCAAATTAATCGATAATTGCATATAAATTATGACAAATAATTATAAGGGTATGCAAACTATAAGAATATATTTTTGCCCAATATATCAGTTCCTAGGATTCTTGCCGATATGGCTGCTAACAGCTACAGTCTTCCTGTGTCTGGAGGAAATCAGGTGTCAGCCCTTTGAGATAGGCCAGGTCAGGAAAGTGATATCACAAGAAATACAGAAAATATTTTATTGATACAGGCTTTACAAACAGAATCTTGAAAGCCTGACACAATTTTCTCTTCTCTCTCTCTTTCCTGTAACAAAGACAGTCAAGATGGGTGATCTTGAGTTTCTTTTTCATGCTTTGTTTTCACAGGCTAAGTTCATGTTTTACTTATGATTGCCCTATATCTATTTGCAGCAGTTTAATACAGTTGTCGTAAGCTATATTGCCCATCAATTCATCTCTCAGGGCACAAGCAGTTTCTTAATTGAAAGTTTCTCGAAGCTTATGGACTGTTGCTCTGAGAAAGATAGGGTTTCTCAACTTTGGCAACTTTAAGACACAAGGAGTCAGTTCCCAGAATGCCCCCAGCCAGCATGGAATTCTGAAAGTTGAAGTCCACACATCTTAAAGTTGCTAAGATTGAGAAACAATGTCTCAAGGTGCTGGACTAGGAATGGGGAGGCCTAGATTCTAGACCTTTATTAGGCATGGAATCCAGCTGGGGGACTTTGGCCAGCCATGTCTTCTGTGTCCTAATTAGGGTCAAGGTCTGCACTCAGTAGTTTGCAACAAAACCTCTCATGCCTCATCTGCTGATAAAATTTACTAAGCAGGACAAGTGCTTAGAAGAATGTGTATTGTTGTTCTGGTCTGTCCTCTGTCTCTCAAATTAGCTTAATCACCCAAAAAATAATGACTGGAAGAGCAGTGCAGGAAGTTTCAAATAGATAAATGTGCTTAATTCATTTGATATCATGACTTATCTAAAAATTGTAAGATTCATTTGCTGCCCATTTCCTTCAAAATGATTCTTTGAAATTTAGTCTAAGAAATAGTGATTGATAAGACAGGGGAAGAAAGGGGTGAATAATTGCAAGGCATGCAAAGAGAGACCCCAGGTTAGCTTTCTGCGCTTGCCTTTTGCTGGAGAAGAATATTGAAATGTTTATTTTATGTAAGCTATTTCTGTTGCCAATCATCTCACCAAAAAGACTCTAGACGGGCGCCCATACACACACAACAGCATTATTTACAAAATGGTATTCCAAAATAGTAAATCTTAATGTCAGTACTGCCTCGCTTGTCATACAAGACCATTGCTACTGCTTTCCCAACACCATTTAGGGCCAAAATAGCGGGGAAGGGAGGGCAAGGAAGAGCTATAAGGAGCGTGCCTCGCCCTCCCCCTCGCCCTCCCCCTCGACCCCAATTTCTTGACGCTTGAAACCAGGACTCGGCTTTAGAATTCGTATTTAAACAATACCGCTGAGCAAATGCGGAAGGGTTAATTGGCTAACTGCTTTCTGATTCTGCCTGGCGCGGCCTTCGCTGCTGGGACAGCAGAGAATGGGCTGCTCCTAAACAGGAAAGGCGTTTTTTCCTTCTGAAGTCTCAATCGCTTCTTGACTTTCCCGCAACTGCCACGTGAACCCAGCAACGCCCAGCCGCTAGCTTCCCTTTGCAGGAACAATCCAGCTCTGCCTCGCCAGCTGACGCCTTTCCCCAGTCACAATGATCCAGATATGGACCGGGAGGCGCGGAGCGGCGCCACCCGCAGCTGCAGTCAAGAAGTGGAACTGGACGGTTCAGGTCATCATGTGTCCGGCAGCAACGCCCACCTATTCCCTCCTCTCTGCCGGCTGCATTTTCCCAGGAGCTTAGGAAGGACTGGAGGAGGAGGAGGAGGGGCGCGGTGCTCACGTGGAAAAGAATTGCAGCGTGACGCCAAAGGGGAACCCGCCGGGAGGGATTCCCTCAGAGGTAGGAGTCGGCTGGGCTTCAGAGGACGGGGCGGGGCGCGAGGAGGGGAATCCCCCATTTTATCATAATCCATTTGTTCAGGATCCAAGAAATCCAGTCTGCGAAACCCCTGAATATGCTGCAAAATTCCAGCCACTGCAGATTTTGGCAATGTGACTGGGAGAACAAACTGTATGGACTGAATAATAAAACAATGGCCTGATATTCGAAATGAGAAGCAGTGAACCTGAAAGTTAGTTTATAGGGTGGCTGTGTCAAAAGCTATCTCCTTCATCCTCTTATCCAATTAAAAATCACTTTTCCTAATGTCCTCCACATGCTGAGACCCAGGGTATCATATTGTGGAAAGTTGGCTAACTAGCACAAAAGTATAATAGCAGAGTATTAGAATCAGGTTGCTTCATATTAAAGGATTCTAAAAAACAGAATACAGATAGCCTCGACTTACAACAGTTTGTTTAGTGAACATTCAAAGTTACAACGGCACTAAAAAAGTGACTTGTGACTGTTTTTCACATTTATCACCATTGCAGCATCCCCATGGCCATGTATCAAAATTCAGACACTTGGCAACTGACTCATATTTATGATGGTTACAGTATCCTACGGCCATGTGATCACCTTTTGCAACCTTCTAATAAAGAAACTCAGTGGGGAAGCCAAATTCACTTAACAACTGTGTTAAAAATTAGAGAGAAGCAAATCTTCAATGTTCCTCTGGGAAGCAAAGCAGCTCCTATCTTCATTGCTCAGTAGCAATGGCTTTGGGCCAGTCTTTGCAAGGCATGTTGACCAATTGAGGTAGAGTAGTATGACCTTGGCTCTGAAAACCTGTTCACTAAGTCAAAGAAATGCTCAACAGCTCATTAGAGAAAAATGTTTTATCAAACTGAAGTGACACATTCTCTTAGGACATAGTCTGTAGTTTTTTATTTTCCTGTCTCAAGGACTTGGGGAAGCAGACCACCAATTTCAAAGTGTTGTAGTCAGTACTCATTTGGAGTAGGTTCTGCAGGCTATGAGAAGGGATTGGGGACTTCTTGACTCCACAGATTGATTTCACTTGGAAATATATCATGTACCGTATTACAGTATAGTGTACTATAGACCAATGTATAGTGGTCTTACAAAATAGTGTAGACCAGTGTTTCTCAATGTCAGCAACTTAATGATGTGTAGACTTCAACTCTCAGAATTGGGAAGATTCTGGAAGTTGAAGTTCACAGTTGTTGAGTTTGAGAAACAGTGACCTACACTATAATCTGCATTTAGATTGTTATGCTATTAAAACTGAGCTGCTTCATTAAAAAGATCTGTATTCTTTAACATTGTTATTTAACAACAACAACAACCTTTTCCTGTGAAGGGTGGCTGACGAAAGGTGTCTTTTCTCTAAACAGAAAACACCCAAACAAAACCCGGTTATCTTGTTCTATTTACCCCATAAGGTTTTACTGCTGTGTTAAGTAATTTTCCTTGTTAGAGGATTAATGGATTTATAACTTAGTGGACAGAACTAGATTTAGAGAGCTGAATTAGTGCAGCCTAACAAGCTCAGAGCGTCATGGAAAGTAAAAAACCATTAATAAGGTTTTATAATAACGTCAAGGACCATCATGTTTAGAATGCACAAATAAACAGTTTCATTAACTACTGAATAAATCATTTTTCATTCAACAGTCTCTAGGAATGTAAACATCACAAAGAAGGACAGGTTGACAAATAAAATATATCAAAATGTGACAGTGTAATTGAAGCTCTGCACAGTTTTGTGGACATTATATATGCAACACATATAAAAACTAGCAGAGATTCAATCACACATCATGGCTGCCATCTTGACTTTTTTTGACCATATGCTATGAACATATTGATTCATACTTTCAATCTTTTACTTTCTGCCTGGAACGGCTGAGCTGCCCTGCATCCTTTCACCTATCTCTTACATTGCAATAAAAGTCAGAAGCTAGAGGCAAGCTTGGGAGATAGATGGTGGATAGATGGTTTATTGTTGTAGTGGAAAGAGTTTGATTCATTGTTGTTGTTTTTCCAGTAGGGGAGCATGACTGCATGGCCTCTTCTAAAACGAAAAACCATTTTCAAAATTAACTGGAAAGGTAAGAGAGGAGGAAATAATTTTTAAAATTGTTTTTTTAAAAAAACAACAACCATAGTGCTTGTAGATTTATAATCTGTTGAAAAATATGGGGTTTTTTTATTTCTGTCATAGCAGAGTACAGGCTACTGGATAGTGTCTTTATGGGGCATAAAACATGAAAGGCCAAGAACCAGTAAGTTAAAGTACAGCACGAGTAAAGATGAGGATGGAAATCTCATCTTTATTTTACATCTCAAAGTGGTTCCCCCCCCCGCCATTTTTTTTTCTCCCTAGCAGTGGTTATTTTTAATCAGTTTGTTTCAGACTAAAAATATTCCTCCATTAGGGGAGAAATGGATTTAAAAATCTTTGGGAAAAGGGGTGGGTGGCTTGTTATTGTTAAAATCCCCCTTGCTATGAATTCAGGCTAACACAAATATTCACAGGATTCTGCTGCACATTTTTAATGTGGCCTTGAATTTGGGGACAATTATCTAGCCAAATGCTAATCCTGTTGCTTGTTGTATAAAAGGGAGACTAAATCTGTCCCCCCCCCCGGCTTTTCTCTTTACAGACTAAGTTATACCTGAAGACAAGGTCTTAAGTCAAGCCTTGCAAGATGGCACAGAAGAAAGGGGCTGCAGCTTTGCTCAAGTCACCGGCTCCTGCATGCAAACCCCAAAAGCAGTTTCCCATAGCTCTGGGCTACAAGATGGATCAGGCTTTAATTTCTGAATATGTTCCTATGGTCATACATTCAGGAGGACTTAAGCCTGAGTATCTTAGCTTTGCCTTCTATAACCCTAATTACTCCAATTCATACAATCCATTTTACACTTTACAAAAACCAACCTGTGGCTACCGGTATTGTCGAGACACTGACCACCGAAGGAAGGTCATGGATATTGAGAGAGTAAATATTCCGAAATGGAGAACTATTGTGGGGAAAAAGCCAGGTGTGGCTTCGGAAGGCTCAAAAGTCTGAAACAGCCGTGCATTTCTCCTGAGACTTTCCTAACAGCATTCTGATTCAAAATCTGAACTTTGTCATCCTCCAAGCATGTCTAAAAGGAGATGCTGTGGGGGCTTTGAAAGAAAGAGTTCTGCCTTATAGCAAGAGCTTCTGGAACCAATAATGATGGAATAAGTCAAGTCCTACAAGAGAGCCACCTTACTTTGGCTTTGAAACATCTACAGCTGTAGATCTCCCACCAGCCAGAAAAGCACCAAAATGAAGATCAAATGAGCAGATACTTTTCTCTCTGTTGTTTTGTTTACTACATATATTTATTAATCCCAGAGAAACAGGGAGAACTAAAGCTAAAGCAATTTAAGATTTGCTTTGTCCAGCCAAGCATAGTTCCAGATATTACAATGAAAGAACCCCCCCACAATACTCCCCATTCTATTCTATGAGTACACACACACACACACACACACACACACACACACACACAGAGAGAGAGAGAGAGAGTTATATATGAAAACAATGAAATGTGAAGCAATATATGCAAGGCTGAGGAATGTGTGTGCAAGATAGAACAGGATATTTTCACAGATTATTTTAATTTTATTTTCATTCGTAGATATGTATTGGAAATTTTCTTGTGGTGTCTTTTTAGACCAAGAAGCATGGTGAATGCTCCAACACTGGAAGTTTTTAAGAAGAACAGCCATTTGTCCGAAATGGTATAGGGTTACCTGCCTGAGCAGGGGGTTGGACTTGATGACCTCCAAGGTCCCTTCCAATTTTATTATTATTATTATGAAAAATATAATTTCCTACTCAAGATGATATCTTGATAATAGCTTATACAGTTAATTCACATTCAAAGTGCAGAGTATGCAGACATGATAACAACCATAAACACCTGCAGTTGATCTCTCTATCTGAATTGGCTTGGTAGACAGATGTAGAATGCAAGTATGTGATAGGGATTAAGGCATCAGTCTAGAAACCAGGAGGCTATGAGTTGTTGTCCCATTTTAGGCATGAAGACAAGTTGTATTACTTGCCCAGTTACTCTCTCTCAGCCCTAGAAAGGAGGCAAGGCAAACCACTTGTGAAAAACCTTGCCAAGAAAACTGTAGGCACTAATCCAGGCAGTTTCCAGGAGTCAAAACTGACTCAAAGTCACACAAAAAAGATATAGATGTGCCGCATCTATGTCTTCACTTGTCTGCTTGTCTAGTAAGCATTTGAAATTCTGTTAAGAACTCTATATTTGCTCTATTCAGAGTCCTATGATGGGCAGGTCTACCTCTTCTGAATTTCTGAATCATCAGAGCTTCCAAAAGTTAGCTGACTGTGCTTAGAGAATCCTTGGCAATGCAAAAAATCTGTAAAAAGGAGCTTAAACATATACCCACATCTCCTGGTTCAATTTACTTATATCCCTGAGCAGCCAATGTCTGCACAGAATTTTATGGCTTTTAGTAAAAGATAACAAAAGAGGAAAGCGACCACAAGGGCAGGGACATGCAGCATGCTTATTATTATATACTTTGTACATGAGGAAAATCATTAACAGTGTCTTTCCTTAGCTTTAGCATTACTATGTGATGCTATCTGCATACCTCAGCAGAAGAGATGGTTATGTATAACATACTACTTAGTTTGTTGTACTTATTTCATCTTTACTGTATAATTATTCAGTAAAACCCAGTGGACTGTTTCTTGCACTGTGTCTATCATGCAATGTGTCTATTGCACAATGAGCTTTAGAATTCAGTTGAGAGCATTGCTTAAGCTTATTTGAATGGGCCTGCTTTCCAATTTAATGGCCTTTTCAAATTTTTATGATTCCACAAGGAAAGTAATAGAAACTGTGAAAGACAACACAATTGTTTTCACAAACTCTTTCTAGTTTTCTCATGGCTGACATAATCAAAAGTGGATTATATTTTATTAAGCTATCTTCAGAGCTATGGTTATGGCCATTTCAATCTTTTTCTGGGCCTTATAATCAATTAGTCTCTCATTTTACATTGTTCTATTTTTGGTCTCAATTTTTTATGACACTAGTAACCCATCACAGAACTTTTCTCTCATTGGCTATTTAGTATTAAGTCTTTAGCGCCTACTTAAACATCAGAAGCTGCTTTGAAGAAGCTGTCACTATTTTAAAACTCTCAAAGAGCTTTTTCACCTTCCTCATTAAAGAAGTTTATTTTTAACAGCTTCTGTCCTTTCTACTTCATCAGTTTTTCTCTGAGATATTTGTTCTATATGAATATTTAATAAAGAGGGGAAAAAAACTTTTAGAATACCGCACTGTTCCTCAAAAGACGTGTATCTCTGTTTTGCTTTAAATATGGGGAATATGGATGGCAAATCTGTTGAAGAACTGAGTACCACAGAGTGCCACCAGTGGTACAAGAAATTTATGACAGAGTGTCCCTCTGGACAATTGACTCTACATGAGTTTAAACAGTTTTTTGGACTGAAAAATCTGAGTCAACCATCAAATGAATACATTGAACAAATGTTTGATACATTTGATTTTAATAAGGTAAGTGATTTAATATAATAGTTATAGTTTCCCAGAGTTGTTGAGAGTTTGTTGGCATACAAGTTTAATAAATTATTATTATTGCATACAATATTCTGTATTTGCACATGTGTGTGTGTGTGCAAGGAGAAAGAAAACATTTAAGTTGCAGAAGATTTATATATGTTGATCTGATCAAGATAACCTTATGGAGTATTGTGGTTCTTTAAGGAGCAACAAATTTATTACATGATATATTTGTGGGTAAGTATAATATATGAAAGATGATACCAGAATGATTTATTAATTTTTAATGGGCTTCAAGATTTTTGCTTGTGCTGACATAAAAGCAAGTGGCACATATACAGATCTATAATGCAATGATCAATGAAGTAATTTATATGCATTGATTCATTTTCTACTGTGGGTGATAGCATTTGTTTCTGTGAAAATTAACTACTAACTAGTTTCACTCAAGCACAATAGCATTATGTCGGGATTAATTCTGCACACAATTCCTATGTCATATTTCACATTGTTGTGTTATATAAATAAATCATGGGGTATCTTTTTTTAAAAAAAATATTTGTTACAATGGCTAAATTAATTATTTTGGGATTAAATGGTAATTTAAAAGAATAAGCTAGTCTTCAGAAGTCTAGAATTGTCTGATTAAAAGGCTCATAAGTAGAAATAGAACAGAATGATTTTTATTGTAATTTCCTTCTACCCAACATTAGGTTGCTCCTCTTTTGTCATTTACTTTTTTACTTAGATCAGTCTCTAAATACTTACTCTACAAAAATGTTTTTCATATCAAAATAATTTCAATGTGGCAAATAGTAACAATATCTGTTGTAGTTGCACAAATATAAAATGATAATGCTGAATCAGCTTTCCATTCCACAGTAAAAATGCTGGCTGTCCAGAATGGTGCTGTCTTACAATTTTAACTAACTCATATTATGAAGCTAACTGTTGACAACTGACAGCGGTAGGGATTCAGATTCAGAATGGGGAACATTGAGAGAACAGCTGTTTCAGAGGGAAAGTATGTACATGTGGAATTGTTTGTTGACATTGAAGAAGCAGGCTGGGGTTTTCTTTTCTTTTTTAATATACATTTTATTTTATTTTTTAATTTTAATATCAAAGTGCTCAGGAAAACACCGTGGTGAAAAGGTAATCAATCATAACAAAACAAGTCATATATATATATATATATATATTTAGGTTTTTAGGTTTTGCTAACAAAGAATAAAGAGAGAATGGTATAGCTATTTCGGGTTCCTTTAACCCTCATCAGCCAAACTTACTCTTCTGAGATTCGAACCTGGGCTATCTGCATGTTAGGCAGATGTTATAACCTCTAAGCCACGGGTTCTCTCCCACTTTGTTAGCTACCAGGAGAGAGACAGGGGGAGGAGATTTTTACCTTGAATGAACACCCTGTCAGCCCAGATATGGGAGAAAGAAATCTTCTTTCTTTTCTTTTCTTTTGCCTGTATCAGCTCAATCTAGAGCCATCCACAAGCAGCAGTCACTAACTGCGACATCATTTTACATTTTTAGGTTTTTAGGTTTTGCTAACAAAGAATAAAGAGAGAATGGTATAGCTATTTCGGGTTCCTTTAACCCTCATCAGCCAAACTTACTCTTCTGAGATTCGAACCTGGGCTATCTGCATGTTAGGCAGATGTTATAACCTCTAAGCCACGGGTTCTCTCCCACTTTGTTAGCTACCAGGAGAGAGACAGGGGGAGGAGATTTTTACCTTGAATGAACACCCTGTCAGCCCAGTTATAACTAAAATTAATATCTTAAAAAATTTCCCCCCTCTATTTCCTCACATAATATAGCAAATTTAGTTTAATTTATTTCTTCTTAAAATTCAATCAATCGAGCTTCCGGTGGTCAGCGACGATGATGGCGGCTACTTCGTAGCCGTCCTCCTGGGACGGCGTTAGATCTGCGGAGCACAGCGGACATCAGCTGGCCCGTGGCTCGAAATCCCCTTCCCGGGCGAAGGGAAGGGGTAGAGACTACACGAATAGAGGTAGAACCTCTTAACTCCCCCTGGATTTTTTTGGGGGGGATAGAAAGAGTGCTCCCTCGGAGTTCGTGCTTTCTCCGCCTCCCAGCTGTTTTTGTTTCTTCGGAAACAAAGTGAAACACCGCTACCATCTCCGCGCTTAAAGTGTTCTGGTGAGTGACTTCTAAAGCAGACAGAGCTGTCTAAAGGATTTTATTTGGAGTGTAGTGTTTTATTTCTGTTTTAGTTCATGTTGATTTCTTTTTTGTTTTTTACTGGTCTGGAGAGTGAAAGTAAGATGGCGTTTTGAAAGTGCTTTGCTTTTTTTTTCCGGAAAGAAAGAACGGACTTAAATGAAACGTATGGACTGCTTTTAAGCTCTTCTTTTCTTTTGAGAGCGTTTTGGAGGTTTTGAATTTCTTTTCTTGCACTCTCCCTGGTTTTTTCTTCTAAACCTTAAGGATTTTAGTATTTTCTTTTTCTTTTTTTTAAGAAGAAAGAAGGAGAGAATAAGATTTTGAAAAATGGCTTCAAAGAGGCAACCAGCTTCTATAGTTTCTAAGGTGGTCTCTTCTCCTGCAATTCTAACAGTACAACAACAACTCAAAGCTACACCACCAGTACTGCAACCTAAAGTTACACCTTCACCTTCTCCTCCTTTGCCAGGCTTATCTGCACAAGATATTAAAGATAAAAGGTAATGCTGTATCCCAAATCAGAGAGGAAATGAAGCAACTTCTTGAACAGAACAAGTCTGAAAGTAAAGAGGAAATGAAAGACCTTCTTAAACAGAATAAATCTGAAAGTAAAGAGGAAATGAAGGAGCTTTTAGAGGAGAATAATACTATCTTGAGGCAAGACATAGTAACAGCTTTATCAGGCCTGGCTTCTGTGGTTGAGAAGCTGGACTCCAGAGTGGAAGAGGTTGAAGATAAAGTAGACCTCCTTGAAGATAAATTCCAAGATATGGAAAAAAAGATGGAAACCTCACAAGAGGATATTCTTATGTCTCAGTATAGGGAAATCGAGTATGCTTTGATCTCTTATGGGAAGAATTGCAGTGATTAAAATGAATGTCTTACCAAAATTTCTCTTTCTGTTTCAAATGCTACCTATTTTAAAGAATGAGGTTAATTTAAATGAATGGCAGAAAGGCATTAATAAATTTATTTGGGCAGGGAAAAAACCAAGGGTAAAGCTTAAAATTATGCAAGATTTCCGTGAGAGAGGTAGACTCAAGGTACCGAATTTGAAATTATATTATGATGCTGTGGTTTTAACATTAATTAGTGATTGGGTAAATTTAACAAATGTAGAAATACTGCATCTGGAGGGTTGGGATTTACTTTTTGGATGGCATGCCTATTTAATTTTTAATAAAAAAGTGGATCGGGTTTTTAAATCTCATATTATAAGGATTTCTCTACTTCGGGTTTGGAGGAAATATTATAAAAGTGATTTTAAAATACCATTATGGGCTATACCTTGGCATGCGATAGAGGGGATAAAGAGAGGAATTAAAATGGATAGGGTTTCTTATACACAACTACTTAGATGGGATGGCCAAAATTGGCAGTTAAAATCTTTGGAAGATTTACTACATGAAAATATTACCTATTCATGGTTTCAATATAGACAAATAGTGGATAGATGGAAGATGGATCGTAATATGGGCTTGCTTAGAGAAGATGAAAATCTTTTTAAACAAGTAAAGGATCAAAGACGAACTCACATTAAGAGAATTTACGGGGTTCTAGTGGAACTGGATTCAGAATCAGAACTAATTAAAGACTGTATGATTAAATGGGCACAAAATTTTGGTGAACCAGTTCTACTGGATACCTGGGAAACTATCTGGGTGAGGAATGTCAAATTTACACAAGCCCAGAACTTAAGGGAGAATTTTTATAAAATGTTTTATAGATGGCACCTTGATCCACAAAAAATGTCTCTTATGTATCCTGACTTACAGCCTAAATGTTGGAGATGTGGTTGCCTGGACGCCACTTATTATCATATTTGGTGGTCGTGTAAAAATATAAAAGCTTTTTGGATTAAGATATGGTGGAATATCCAAAGAATTTTTAGAAAGAGGGTAAAATTTACTCCACAATTGTTTTTGTTAGGTATTGTTACTGATTGTGATGCTAAGGAGGTTATATCGATGTTGAATTTGATTACAGCCGCAAGGCTGTTAGTAGGGCAATATTGGAAGAAGGAATCTTTGCCTACCTTGCAAGAGTGGCTTTTTAAAGTTTCCTATCTGGCGGAAATGGCAAGGATTTCGGCTTTCTTAAAGGAGCAATCGCAAGAGAAATTTTTTGCCGTATGGGAAAAATGGATAAATTTCACACAATACAAATTGGATATAAAAAAATACCATTTAGCCTTTTTATAACTTGTATATAAACTTTGATATTTTATAGATTGTACTTTTTCTCTTTTTTCTTTTTTTATCTCTTTTCTTCTTTCTTTTTTCTTCTTTTTTAAGCACTTTTTCTTTTTAATGCTTATGTTTTTTTTGTTACATATATCTTATTGTTAATTATTTTATAAGTTGTTTAACTTTTTTTTTAGGATTTTTAAAATTTTAATTAAGCCTATATTCAGCTCTGGGAAGCTCGGGGGGGGGGATGGAGGGGGTGGTTTGGGAGGGGTTGGGTGAGGGTTGTTTTTTTTTTGTTGTTGTCTTTTTTGTTTTTTGTAAAAACTTTTAAAAATTTTCAATAAAAAAAAATTCAATCAATCCACAGAATCATCCCTACTATTCCATCTACATAAATCACTCCTGCTTTTAAGCTCCACTAATTTCAATATTGATCTTAAACAAACATATTAATACAATTTTGGGTATCCCTTCTAAACACATAATATTCCAAGAATAACATTCTAATATTTTCACATATATTCCATCTCTTAATTTGATACATCATTAATTAATACCCTTTCTTCTCTTTTCATAGATCTCTCTAATTCTTCTGCTATTACAAAGTAGTTTTCTATATAAACAGAGTAAAAAAAAAAGAAAAAAATCATTTCGACCTGTTAAGTAAAATTTAACTCTCAACCAAATTAAGTATCGTATCTAAGACAGACATATTATTACACCAATTATTATCTTACTGCTTTCATTTACTTAATTAGATTGTCCAATCAGTCCAAATTTCTAAAGCCTTTTCGACCCAATAATTAAAATTTTAAATCACATTTTTAAATTTAACTCTGGCTTTTTTTCTATACCAAGCTGGTTTCCGTACTGTTGCTTCTATGTCACCAAATCTCAGTATTTGAATACTAATGTTTATCAACAAATCAATCTGATCAAAATTCTCTTACCCTTCTTCCAGTATCTTATACACAGTATAGTCCATTTTATTCCATATTATAATTTCAGCTTGCTTATCCAGGTTGTCATAACTTTCAATCGATCGCGTCTGTCAATACCTGTTAATTTTGGCAATGGGAGAACTTCACTTATAGTCATTTTTTGATCTTCAAAGTTCTCCATTTGTAGATAGACTTGTGAAATATCCTCCTCTGTAGTAGTTAGTTGATTTATAGAGTAGTTATTTAAGGTCTTAGACTGGGCTTTTCTGTTGGGTCAGCTTTGCCCTTGAGCAGCTTATCTGCATCAAAGCAAAATAGATTGAAGTATGCAAAATCCTTTCAAGGAGATTCAAGGAGTTCCTAGCTGTAATGCATAGATTCCAATGAGATATTTGCTAGGAAGAGTCAAATGAAAAATAAAAATCACCTTAATTTAGTGACATGCTAAATTCAGGAGAATAACTTTATATGAATGAAGATGTGGCACGTGTGCTTGACAATGAAAGATCAAGCAAAATAGACACCATATAGAAGAAAATTTAATGTTAGTAATTCTTTTAACAGAAATACTCTTTAAGACATTGGAAGTTATGCAATGATTAAAGGGTCCTGAAATATACACTGTTCTGTAAAAACTACAATCAAAAGCAATTAAGCAGTTATATATTCAATCTAGCATATATATATTTCAATAAAAGAGAGTATCTGTAATTCATGGTTGAATGTGGAATTCTTGATGCTTTCTGATCTTGGTTGTTTGTTTGCAGATGTTTCATTACAGTACTGAACTAAGTAATATCATCATTCATTCACTATGTGTCTATATTCAAGTATTTGTTTATGTGCTGAACAAGGCTTTCAAGCCTAAATCACAGCTTTTGTTGGTGCTTTTATAAAATGCTATTATACAAGCAATGCTCTGATACAATCCCAAAATATAATAATAATGGATAGAGAAATCAAAATTACAATTACAATGGAGCTTTGATTGGTTTCACTACTACACATTTGTGTTACTTTGACACAAATAGCAAATGGGAAAATCTATCCTATAGAAATATGCATGTAAAAATGAGTCCTATATAATTCAGCAAGATGTAATTTTATGAATTATTTAGTAAAGCTGCCTTAATTACAGACTGTGATATTGTATAGATAAATTCATCTGTACAAACAGAATTGTCCATGATCTATATGTGAGTGTGTATGTTTGTGTGTGTTTGTGTGAGAGTGTGTGTGTGTGTGTGTGTGAAAGGTCAAGATTGTGATAGCTTTTTTACCTTCTTTGGACACCATTACAGATGAATGTGACTTTGCTTCTTCTTTCCAAATCTGTTCTTTCTTAAATTAATTTATGGGGTTGATTATTTTGTATTGGCCCATTTAGGAAATGCTCATGATGACTTTTTATTTTGTGGTCTTAATTTTTCCTAAACTCAGTGGGTACAATGCATTATCTCTTCCCTGAAAACCTTGTTTGACCTCATAGATGTAATGAACATCAATGGACCTTCAAATTATTATTAGTTAATATTATACCATTGGTCAAGCCCCATGGGCTCGACATTGAAGGGAGGGGGGGAGGGAGACGACAAGGATGACCGGGAGGAGGTTGGCGACGTCACTGAACAGCTGAGAGGTTCCCTGGCTGGGCCGCCGGACAGCCGTTCAGTGCAGGATAGCATAGGGGAGGAGGCCAGCGGTAAGGACGACGGCTCGGAGAAAGCCAGCAGCTTTCTTAAGAAACAATGTGCAAACAGTTGAAGACCAATAAGGAAGATTGAAAAGGGGCCATATTTATTTTCTGTGGTCATCATGACTGAATTTTATCAGTTGAAATTAATATTAAAACATCCTCAGTTGGAATATTTTCCCATGCAGTACTATTTGCTTTTATTTTATTACACAATTGTATGGGACAATTTTTAGCAGAGAAGTTCCTTTCTGGCTATGCTATTATAGGAATAATCACAATTTTTACCTTTCACAAAATACACTGGCTTGATCTTTTAACTTTCACTCTAAAACAAGAATGTGAATAGGATCTTAACCTTTTGACCTTAAGCAAAATAATCAGTAGAAAAGGAAAACATAATTTCTGAATAAGAGCTTTCAAGCTTAAGAGGATAACGGCAACATTAGATGATAACTGCAACATCAGCAATAATCATAATCATAAAGTATTAAGTTACAAAAATACATTTATAAAAGCTGTGGCTATACGTATAGCTCCAGCTTACTTAAACTAAAGGACATCACTTTTTGCTCTTCAATAGGATGGCTACATTGATTTTATGGAGTATGTGGCAGCTCTAAGCTTGGTTCTGAAAGGGAAAGTGGAACAGAAGTTGAAGTGGTACTTCAAACTTTATGATGTCGATGGTAATGGCTGTATTGACAGAGATGAGTTGTTAAACATCATTAAGGTAAATTATTTTCTTCAATCTTTTCTTCAGTCAATTGCTCTTTTGATTATATATGGTTGATATACCCAGACATTGCCCTTGATAGTAAGATGCTAAAAAATTTCAGTTTCTCTTACACTATATGTGCCATATGTCTCTATTACTTATGTACAGGAAAATGAGGGGGGAAACTGTAATATATTCAACATAGAGGACATTGTATTTATAATAGAGATGGGTTTAAACCCTGCATAATATCACTTGGTCAAGCCAGCTAGTCTAGCAACATTATTAAACACTGATGATTGACAACATATAATTGTCGTAACTATGGTACTTCAGGAGAAATTAGTAGCATCAACAGTACTTGAAACTTGTAATGATAAATCTAACATTCAATCTTCTCTGATCACTAATGAAGCAGGAAGACTTGAGAGATCCTCACCCTCCAAAAAACAAGAGTCTAAATAGTAGCTGCTAGAATTTCCTAAGGTAGTGAACATTCTCCCTGAGGTGAGGTTAGCCCCATACCTCTTAGCCTTCCAGAAAGCCCTTAAAACATACTTTTTCCAGCAATCTTGGGGAACCCATGGGAATCCTGCAAAGTGATTGTTATTTATTAAATATATTTGCTGCCCATCTCATTTCAAAGTGACTCTGGGTAGAATGTATTATGTAAGTTGAATTAGTATTCTCCTGCACTCCTGCTTTTCTATGTTTGATGATGGTTATACTGTTTTAATTATCACTGTGGTTATACATTGCCCAGACTCATGTCATTTGAGAAGGGCAGCTATATACATTTGCTACATAAAATAAAGAAATAAATTTACCACCAGATCAATGTCTGTTAGAGGAGAACCACTCTCTGCTGGAGCAGGGGACAAATGAATCACTTTAAAGTCATTAAATCAATAGGTCAAGTGGTCAAATGACTATGGCAACAGGCAGACTATCTCCTATTTCTCATTTGGTGTGGGCAAAGAGCTTAAAGAGATTACACAACCTCTCCAAGACCAACACAAAAGAACAGAGCAAGAAGATTGGATGAATGGATATATAGACAAAAAACTGAGTAGATTAGAACTGTATAACAAATATATAAAAATATAATCTGATTTTCACATTTTAAAATCACAAATTAATTTGTAATTTCCATTGGAAAATGCTGCATCTATATGAGAATTTGTTAGTTTTCTTTTTTTAAAAAAAATCATACATATTCAAACTGTTCACAGGTAGGGAAACTGAATACCTTTTCAGATATTATATATCTATTTTTCTTTTCAGGCAATTCGCACCATTAATCCATGTCAAGAAATCATGTCAGCTGAGGAATTCACAGATATGGTGTTCAATAAAATTGATATAAACGGAGATGGTAATAAACTTCTTTATCTATGCTGAGATATTACTGGCTGGATGCAATCCAACAGTATATCATGATATCTGTGTAGGGAAGAGGTTTAATTTGACAATTTAGCAATGGATACTACCCCACTTCTGGATACTATCCCACCTTTTTGGCTAGAATCTAGTTAAACTGTTAACAATTCTACCTCCTTGAAGTCTATTTTATTACACCTACCACCAATTCAAATTAGTCTCAAAAATGAAGGAATAATTATCAATGAGAAATGCCCAAAGTGCATATCAAGAAAGTTAGAGTTAAAACCAGCTAAATATTGAGGTACAGAAATCAGGTCTTCCAGTTACTTAAGATGAGAAGCAGAGAAGTTATTTGCAAGCTGAAGCCTGCATTTTCTTATTGAAAAGTAAGAAAATGGTAAGTGGAATGAAACTCATATGGCCATGTCATCCATTCACCCATCTGCTTCAGTTTTTAGTCTTGCATCTATCCACAGAGAGAAACTTGGACAGACTTGGAAGTCTGATGTCAACCTTTGATGCAGGCTAGATCAAGAAATGGGCATGGCAGGGATTCCAGGAATGCTTGTTTTGAAGTAAGGTAGGATAACAGAATCTTGAAAGCTGTCCAAGTTTCTCCCTGTCCCATCTTATGCCATATACAATCAAGGTAGGTTTGCTTTGAGTTTCTTTCTCATGTTCTCCTTTTTCTCAGGACTGAATAAATTTAATGGTTTGTTTGTATTTTTCTACCTCCAAGGTCAACTCCAAATTCCTTTACAGATGCAAATATTGATGGAATTGAATTTGGTTGATTGATCTATCAAACTTTTTAATGTCCTCATGGAAATGAGAATTTTGTATTCTTCAAAAGCCTAGGAAAAACCTACAACTTTTTTTTCTTTTGTCAAAAGGTGACCAAACTTAAGTATAAAGGGATGATGCAGTTAGTGCTAATTGAATATCCATGCTTTGTACAGTTCACAAAATCAGCTCCCATTCATTTCTGCAGGCCATACATGAACCAAATTCTCCTGTTTGTGTCTATAGGTGATTTGTCTCTTGAAGAATTCATAGATGGAGTACAGAAAGATGAGGTTCTACTTGACATTCTCACCCGTAGCTTGGACCTCAAACATATCTTTGAAATGATCCAGAATGATGGAAAGAACCCTGAAACATGTGGAATATCCACAAAAGATGAATAAGCAAATTATTATTCTTTTAAATAATAAATATAATATTATGAGAACAAAAATTCAACACTAAAAATTGTGACAATTTAGAATATTTGTGTTGTATGTAAAAGAGGCACTGTCTATTATGAACACATTGAATAACCGTTATCAACGATTGATGAAGACATCAGATTGGCCTAGAAAATTAAGGCAATTATCAATACTTCTGGTCAGATGAACACATAAAAATGAAAGAATATCCTTAGTTTATTTGGTCTTTAAAGTGTCAGTGAGGAAAGTAAGTATAAAAGAATATTATGATCCACAAGATGCCTTGTGCCATTTTGACTGCTTCTTGTGGTTGCTTCTTATGGTGAAGATACAAGTAAGCTAGAAGAGAAACAAATTAAGGAAAATTGAAAAATACAGCTTTGGATAGGATATCTATTTTTTGATCATCCTAAGTAATAGTGAGACCAAATGGCATCCAAGATTGAATATCTAAAAATGGTTCTTTAAAATCAGTGGTGCAAATCCCATTTACTCAAATTGATGTCAAGTCTGTAAATCTATTATAACTTCTTTGATATAAGCCTTTTTGCATATTCAGAAGTTCTTTTTAATATTGCCCAAGAACAATATTTTGGCTTTATATAGATTTAGCACATGCCGTTTAAAGATTAAGTACTATATTTTACTATAGCAAATGTTACTCTTATAAGAATATGCTATTTTTTCACAAAATAATTCACCCTTTGATCTGGGTTCTTTATATGTGCATATAGTATTTTGTTTCCCTAAAACAATTCTGTATTTTTTTTTTAAAAAGGGACTTATTATTTCTCTAAGTACTTTTTTACAGGAAATGAAGCATAGTTTAGGTTTAGTTGGTATCAGATTGACACTCAAATTCAGGTACATAGAGAAAACCCCAGATGCTAAAATATTTTCTAAATTGATTAAGCTTTAAATTATATTCATTTATTAGGGATTTTGTAGCCTAAGCATTACAATGACTACAATGAAAAAAAATCATTCTTAAAAAAAAACAAACGGAAAATAGTTGGCTTTTGTAAGAGCAATTCTGAACATTTGTGACTACATTTTTAACAAAGAATAATTAGTGTGAAAACACCAATATACCCTTGACTAGGAAAAAAAAATATTTCTCTTCTAGCTTTGGTCTCGCCTAATGGTTAAGACCCCAGGCTTGAAAGCTAGAGATTGTGAGTTCTACTCCTGCCTTAGCCATGAAAACCAGCTGGGTGACCTCAGGGGCCAGTCATTTTCTCTCAGCCCATCTCACCTCTCAGAGTTGTTGTGTTGAAAATAGGAGGAGGATGTGTTGCATATGTTCGCCACCTTGAGTTATTTTTAGGGCCAGGTTACTTACAGGACCGCATACTGCCGCACAGTTCCCAGAGACCGGTGAGGTCCCACAGATTGGGCCTCCTTCAGGTCCCGTCGGCCAGACAATGTCGGCTGGCGGGGAAGGGCCTTTTCTGTGGTGGCTCCGACCTGGTGGAATCAACTTCCCCCCGAGGTTTGAACTACTCCCACCCTGCCGGCCTTTAAGAAAGCCATTAAAACTCTCCTGTTCCGGCAGGCCTGGGGCTGATGTCCCCAGGGGGGGGCGGGATATGATCGGACACGTTGTATGAATGTATTTATTTTATTGTTTTATTGTCATATTATTGTTTTAATTTTGTATGCCGCCCTGAGTCCCTTGGGATTGGGCGGCATATAAATTTTAGAAATAAATAAATAAATAAATAAAGGTGTGATATAAATAACATAAATAAAATAAAATAAATATTAAATTTATAATAGAGGCTAAGGAATCCTAAAGTACCTGAAAGTACTAGAAAGTACTTTCTAGTATGAATTACAAACGCTACATGAAGAATTCTGAATAGCTCGGTCAAATTTTTATTGTAAGGTGTGTTTTCTTTTTTTACCAATCAGTGGTGGCATGAATAAAGATCTGTTTGAGTTGCAGGTGTCATCTTTGACATGAACAATAGAGCTGAAAATTGCCACACAAAATGAATAAAATTGTGTTTCCGTTTCTTGAGAAAACTGAGAGAATAAGCAGATTAAATCACATTATACTGAAGGGAAGAAAAAAAATTAAGGTTTAAATCAATAAGTTAAATTTTTTGGGATTAATGCTTGCTTTAAAATCAAACAAGAGGAAAGCAAGCTTTATTTCTTTATACTTTCGCTTCATAATAAGTGCTGTGTTACAGTACTTTATGGAAACTGCAATATTCTAAGGTACTTGATATTGCAACAGGGTAGGTGTGAAAATGATTGAGCTGATACTGGAATTAATAATTTCCTTGAGTTTTAGCTATTTTATATTAGATTTGGTTACATAGACTTCTCTCTGATTTTCTGTATATATTTCAGTTTACATTTCTGATTTTTTTATATTTATAGTACAATGAAATGACTCATTAAAATTTGCATTTTATAACATCAGTTTGGAATTTTTATTTAAATTTTGGAATCAATACTGTATATTTTTTCAATTTTCTAAAATGCTTAGTATAAAGAAGAACTATAGCTGCTGGAAACTGCAACAAATTTGAGCATGGGAGTCAGCGGTATTTGTGGGACTGGCCAAAAATTTAAGGTGGTAGTTGTGATAACATAGTCACAGCCTCACCTCTTTTGAAGAGAGGAGAGGGTAAAACAGTGTCAGCATGGGTATTAGTGGCTGAGATAGGAAATACTGAAATAGTGAATATGACTTACTGCCATACAATATATTCATATCAATTTCATTTGTGTTTGCTCACCAAACTATTTACTTGTTGGTGGTTAAACAATTTATTCCATAATCTTGACAGATAAAAACATCTCTAAAATAAAAAAAAAGCTGAAAACCATTTGACTATCAATTTATTTACTTGTAATTATTTATACCACCTGCAGGTTTTATTGCTAACACACTACCTTTCATCATCTATATTCCAGTCCTTTTGCCTGTTTACTCATTAGATTGCTCCACAAAACACCAACAGAGATGTTTAGTTTTCAAGATATGTTCCTTATCTCCAGCCTTTACAGCCAGAATGCTATTCCCACTTGTATCCCTTTATCATCTGCCATCATGATAAAGGATCTTATTCATAGTTTGCGCTCTTTTAGTTTTATTAATATATCTTATTACTTATTCATCAAAATATCTTCTATATGTATCTATGTAACTGAGAATCTATTTGAGCTGCTTTTCCATACTGCATTTGCAGGGGAAAGAAAGAAGGAATGAAGGAAGGAAGGAAGGAAGGAAGGAAGGAAGGAAGGAAGGAAGGGGAAGGGAAGGAAGGAAAGAAGGAAGGAAGGAATTAAAGTTTGTGAAGAATTTAACTTGCAAAGATTTTCATGACATCTTTGTCCATTTTTTAATCATCTGTTGTGGTTTCTTCCATAGCTTAGAATACCACCAACTGGCCATTTCTATAATTACACTCCTTTAACTTACATTCATGTCACAAAAATATGCATTTCTGATACCAACATATCTTTCATAGTCAAGTTTTGTTAAAACTTTATCAGAATATAGAGTTATCATGTACAGTGCTCTCTGTTCAGTTATCCAGTTCTGAAAACTTTATGGCTGCAAAATCACTGTAGTCAATGAAATTAAAGAAACTTTGATACTGAATTGTGGACACTATGCTACTTTTTTACTGGCTCTTCAAAATCTCTTTCTACCTGCCACTGTGATGAACTTTCATAGAATTAATAGGCAAAACAAATGTCTACTGGCAGGTTTGCACTGCTGAGCTTTATTTGGCTTCAGCAAGGCCAGTGACTGGCACTGTTTATCCAAGATTTAATATGGGGCATGATTGGTGTCACCAGTTGGCAGGAAAAAACTGCAAATCACTTCTTATGGGAGGAGGAAACCTAAACCATTTGTCAAAACTGGCCTTAAGCTACTGTAGCTAATCCATGGGCTGGAGAGGGGGGGTTACTAGACAGATTCTATCCTTCCCACATATAAGAGTTGCATTGTCTGATCTAAGAGATGATAATAGTGAGTTGCACAGTAAAACAAATGATGCTATACTGCTTTCCTCAGCAGGGCTCTTTTTACGTTCCCTTGAGTAGCAAAGCAAAGGTTTGATAAATTTCAAGGAACACAAATGCTTGGAGAAGTAGAATTTCTTGTAGAAAATTTATAAAGCCATTACAGAAGAATTTCAGTGACTGCTGTGTATCAAGCCTTATTTATAGTAAAATAAAATTTAAAAAATGTCTGCCTTTCTCCCATCCAAGCAACAGAATCATTTTGAGTGGGAGGTCCAGTTTCCATGTATTTCCTGTTTTGATAATGGACATTAACATTGGTAACTTTAACAATTTACCCTCATGGATGAGGATAAGTGCCTATTTTTTAGTGATGGTGTTGGACAGCTTTACAATAAAAAAAACTTACCCTTGTCCCCATTTCTTTTGCTACCTCTTTAAGCCCAGCCATCCTGTAGGGATCAAAAGGTTAGCAAGGGAAGCAGAAAGTGGGCCTTTAGCTATCAGTTGTCTCATCCCAGAAACAGTATATAAAAAGCTGCTTCTCCACCACCACAAATACATAGACATCAGAGGTTTGGAATAAAAGGTTTCTCAAACTGTATAATTGGGCCATGGGAATATGCATGTAAACTTTAGGAAATTTTAAATCACCAACTCACTTTTTGAATCCTACAGCAGGATTTTCTCTAACACAATCAGACCATTAATTTCATAAAACACACACTCAATTTTATTAGAAAGATTTCACCAATTCATAGGAGAAGGACAAAGGGAAGGTGTACATCTATACATTCATGATTATAATGTACATCTGTATACTTATATTATGATTAAGCTATTCTTAATACCTGTCTTATTTAGAAAATATATTCAAAGTGGCTTTATAAAAACATTAAAACTAAATTAAGATTTTTAGCATGTTCACACAATAGCCTAATTACAAAGTTTCTCCCCATCTAGTTGTTACTGACTCAAGTGAGGCGGTGCTCAGCTGAGGGAGCCAGTGTTGTCTGAGAGATGCTTCTGTCATCATGTGGCCAGCATGAAGATATGGAATGCAGTAACCTTTCCCACTGAAGTGGTACCTATTGACCTACTCACATTTGCATGATTTCAAACTGCTAGGTTGGCAGGAGTGGGATGAGTAATGGGAGCTCACCATTGTGTGGCTCTCCGGTCTCAAACCCAGGCTGTCAGCTTTCCAGCTGAGAAGCCCACCATCTTAACTGCTGAGCCATTGCACCACCCTTGTGTTAATTATACAGAAGTATAACTAAATTAAAAGTTAAAAGAATAGCTAAAAAGCAAGAAATTAAACTGAAGCAATACAAAAACAAGCCTTCAACCCATTAAGGATGGGAAATTCTTAGCATCCCATAAAATTTTAAATTGTATCCCCACTGGCACTTAATCACTGCACAATCATGTTATGACAATTCTTATTGCTTTCCTTGTCCCTATGATGCTGCCTGCATTTTATCTCGTGAGAGAAAGACATTTAGTTGTACTGGTATTAAAAGAATAGTATTTTCTGCTATATTCCCGACATTATCCAATAACAATTTTAAGATGCATAAAATCTATTATTTTGCTGCCTTGGAAGAAAATCAGGTAACTGGTAGTGACTGCGAACAAAGATGACAGAAGCAGAGTTAAGAATTGCCAAAGGGGACATAGATAGTATTTTGTGACCCAAGGATAGGCAGATAGTACTTTAATTCAGTAGTTAGAAATGAGCCTGTAGAAAATGGAAAACATTATTTATTAAATTTGTTTGTCACCCATCTTGCTGTGAGGCAAATCTGGGGGAATTTAGGGGGGGAAATTGCCTGTATGAGGAAAGCAACTGGCCTTGTAGACTTCTGACAAATATACAGTATTCTAGAAGAGGATATGGTTGGCTGGATCCCTGAAAAGAAGTCATACCCATGATAACTTAAAGGACTCTCACCCATCCTTGAGTTGGAAAAAAACTATTCCAGAATAAAATTTTCTGACTTTCTTCCATCTTTGACCTAAACATCATATGCAAAGTTCTAACAACTCCTCTTGTACCACCAAAAATGAAGCTGGCTAATAAACTAAAGAGAAAGAATGAAATAGCAGAGATTATTGGGGAGAGAAACTAAGACTTTGGGTTTGGTCTCCCTTTTTAACACTCCCCATCCCTGCCCAGTATGAGCTGCCAGACGCTTGGGCGTGTTAAGGACCTGGAAAACATAGATTGTGTGTGAGACAAAAAAAAAGGTTTATTTCATTTTGGGAAATCAATATGTGTTGTGAAATATTACATGGCATTGTCTATATGAGATCCATGTGAAACCATAATCATAGAACTCTTTCATTGGCACACAAGTAGCTATTACAATCATGGATTTAAAATTTTCTGGCACTAGAACAATTAAAAAAGCATGAATGCATAGAATGAACCCTCATCTTTATTTCTACAAGGGATATCTCAGAAAACAGAGTACAGATCAAGGATTTGGAGGGGACATAAAAAAGTATAACAATCAAAAGTGTATTTTGATGTTACCAAGGGGCAAAAGTCTAAATCTAAGTCACATACACTTTTAGATTCTAACTTTTACATACAATTAATACAGGTATTGACTGCAGGTTATGAATTTGCAGAATTTCTTTTACCTAATTACTATGGTAACAATATTTAGAATAGTCTATAAGGTATAAACAGTGATGGGATTCAAATATGTGAACAACTGGTTCTCTGTGTAGATGCTGCTTCCGGAAGTCCATTCTAGGCCTGGGCAACAAAAAATTAACTACCGGTTCTGCTGAACTGGTACGAACTGGCTGAATCCCACCGCTGGGTATAAATCCATCAAGTTCACTCAAAGTAGTTACTAGGCATAGACTATGGACGTGTTGAATTTTTGTGAAAAAGTTACAATTAAAGATAAAATTTGGGGGAAGCAGAAGTGAAGCCAAGGGTAGATGAAGTGATCCTTAACTATAAGTCAATCACAGCTTATGAGGCTCAGCAAACTTTTGCAGCTTACATTGCTCACAATATTAAGATCTTAGTGTAAACGTTTTGAGCCCCTAAGCATAAGAAAAATAGTATGATATACTCCTCACCTGATATTTTTGACAACTTTAAAAATAACTACACTATTGGCTGAACCTGAGATCATAAAATTCTAAGATCAGAAGACAGTTCTTTTATGAGCAGCAGAAGCCAGAGGAAACTTAGGAAAACTCGTGTCTTTTTCTATGTCAGTTCCAGAAAACAAGGTTAATACATAGCTATTTTACTGGAAGTGCTGTCATCTTTTCTGACCTTCATTCAAGACTAGTTTTTACTATTGCTGCAGAGAGACCTTGGTTCACTGAAATCAAATTATTTCAATACCCCAAATGATTTTTGCATTTTTCTGCAGAGTATTTCATCCATTCTATGTACAACCTACAAAAATCTGTATGCTGAAGAGAATGTCAATTGTATCTGCTGATGCTGTTTCAGGCTATATTCACACTCAGTAGTTGAGTTTGCTCAAAATGCTAAGCTACATTATATTTAACATTTTATAACTCAATAAATTGTGCAAACCAGACAGTTTGCAAACCCTTGCAATTGGTTTATTTGCTCCTTCCTATAAGTTTACAAAACATTAACTTTTCCCTGATATGATATGTTCGACAAAACATTTGGTCATGTGATACCATCTTGCAGTGTGAAATATGACAGCCCACACATTATTTTTAAGCACATCATCTTTTTCTAATAACTAAGTCTGGGGTCAGAAATAAGCAATATGGGATAGTGCTAGTATTCTAAGTTGTGAGTTGGACCTTCTGCCAACCCTGTCAATAGCCCCAAATCAGCTACAGCCACCCATATAGTCCTCATTCCTACATTCAGGTGGACTTTTAATTTTTTTCCCCAAATTACCATGACACAGCATTGTTCCGTGGCAAGGCCTAGATGCACGGCAGCATATTTAAACAAACAGCATTAGGGTTTTTTTTCTCCTAGTGCTTAGCCTGCTGCTATCAAGGAAAAATAGAACGAAGGAAAAGGGATGCTTTTTTTCTGTCATTACACTTTTGAAATAATACAAACAATGATTAAAGCATTGCACTTTTTCTTCTCTGATTGGCAAGCCATCCACCTGGGCTTACATTGATTTGTAGCATCTTCATCACCCACTTATCTCTTTGCGCTCCTTCAAGGAATTCGTCCAGAGATAATTGTCCTAAAAAATCAATGACAAGAAAGAAATCATAGAATGTTAAAAATGGGGGAGATGCATTCTGTCCAATCCCACTAGTCAACTCCTATCTTTCTTTTTCATTGGACTATAAAGAAGAGAAGGAAATGTGCTAACAGATTGAACTGTTGCTTCTTTGATTCAGAACAGATGGAATCCTTTATATTTTCCTCAAGTAGGACTGTGATATTTAAGAACAATTAATTAAGGCAGAGTTACTTGAAAAGTCTGATTTGAAATTTCAGAAACATAATTTGCTGGGATGGTAGATAGTGGTCAGCTGCCCCTCATAAATATTTAAAGAAGTCAAGAAATTTCAGAGCAAATTTGGAAAGGACAAGCCAGATAATGCAATACTTAGGTGTGCTGAAAATGAATCGTTCTACAATATTGTGCAGAAATTAAGGAGAATGAGTCACAATCTGGAAAACTGACAAGTCTTTTTCTATCTTCCATCTGTGCTGCAGAGCAGAGATAATAAATCTGGGTATCTATTAGAGAAAGAAAATGATAACAAGAAAACTTGAAGTTTCCAATCAGTAGCATTATATAGTATGCACTTGCTCCCTAGAGCTGATGTGAAATCAGATAACCTTGCCAAATGCATGTCTAAACATTATTTAAATGTCTATAATCGTTTCTCATATTTTTTTAAATAAAAATTGAATATATATATATATATATATATATATATATATATATATATATATACACAAAAAAAAGAAAGGAACTCAAGATGAGTATGCTTCTAGGATTCTTCATTGTCTACATCAGGGGTCCCCAACCCCTGGTCTGTGGACCACTATCGGTCCACGGCATGCCAGCAACTGGTCCGCACAAAGAAGGAAAGCCCATCCACAAGATGCAGGCAGCCCACAAAACCACACCACCTCCGGTCTGCAGAAAAACCTCTCTCCACAGAACCGGTCTCTGGTGCCCCAAAAGTTGGGGACCTCTGGTCTACATCACTGTCACTTGATAAGTCAATAACTGTTAAAGTGTCAGTAAAAAAATGTCCATGTTTTAATGACATGGATTAAAATCTGTGTACTATTTGCATCAGGTACAGGCAATATGTTGCCACCAGAAATATTGAGATGTAATTCTCATTAGACTTGTACTGAGCCTTGATGTTTTGGGAGCTTCAGCATTACAAAAGTTCTAGAAGGGCATCAAATTGCCAACCATAATTTCAAATAAGACATCAGTGTGGCTTCAAATCAGGTTATTACCATCTCCATTGTCATCTACGAGATGAAATATTCTTTCCACAACTTCTTCTGAAGTGAGACTGGGAACAGCTCTTTCTTCCTCAGATTTGTATGCTTGCTTAATGCTATAAATAGCCTGGAAAAAAACCCTATAATGTTAACAGGAAGCCACACAATAATGCATATGTAAATCTCTCAGACAGATGTGCATAGAAATTTAATGAATCATTTGATCGAGTGTTTCTAAAGTTAAATATAAAAAAAGAAATCTTTTAGGAAATTTATAGGCAAGAGTGATGTAGACTGTTTCCATAAGGACTGACTACTCCTATTGTTCTATCAGACACAATGCAGTCTGCAGGTCTTCTATCTTTTCATCTTTTCAATATTTTTAGTGTTAAATACAAAAATATGAAAGAAACAATTGGAAAATTATGATAAAACATATATTAGCTATGTTGTCTATAACCCAGGATTGCTATAATGGCGAATATCTGTAGCTAACTCAGGATTTCAGGTTTGTTCTGGAAAAAAAATAATTAATACACATAGTTTATCCTTTCATATTTCTTCTCTCTCTCTCTCTCTCTCTCTCTCTCTCTCTCTCTCTCTCTCTCTCTTTCTCTCTCTCTGTATGTGTGGGGTAAAATTACATAGGAAAGAATAATCCATTGTCTTATTGAAACTTGTTAGTTTGCTCTTAAACTGGGACCATAAGTCAGTATAGAACTGTTAATATCCATTTTCTTTCTTTCATTTGTTTCTAGCCTTCTGCTTAAAATAAACAAATAAAATGTAAGGGGAAAAATCCTCTATTCATCTTTCTTCTTTTTTTGGAGGGATTGTTGTAGACACATTTTTTAAAGAATAAATTTTAGATTTTTTCTCCTTCTCACATTATTATGATGTATTCTTTGACCAAAAACAACTTTGGGCTTTTGTTTTATCAGACTGTAGAATTGCCAGGCAAAATAGACTTATGTTTTAGACATAAACATGGTTCCCTTCCCAATACTAAGGATTCACAAAGTGGAGGTCTGGCTCATTAAATAAGTTATGGCTTAATTGTAAAAGTAGTAAACAATAGTGTAGGTGAACTTATGAGTTAGGGAAGGTGTGAATAGATTTGGAAAGTCTATCCTCTTATACTATTCACAGTATAGCAACTATAATGCATATGACAGCTTCATTCTGATTCTTTTTAAAATATAATTTTAAAAAAAGTACAGTAGGAAGCCAGCATATGCAAACTAAAGCATTATATTCCAGATGGGCAAAAAAAAAATCAACATTTGGCAAAAAAACCACCACACATTTCTACTTACTTCAATTATTTCTAGGAGTTCAAGTCTATCTATGCAGCCATTTCCATCTTTATCATATATTTTGAATATCCATCTCAGTTTGTGTTCCAGCTTCCCTCGCAAAACCAGATTCAAAACAGCCACATATTCTAGGAAGTCAATGGTGTTATCCTGGTAACATAAAATGGTCATTTTAATTGTGATCATCTTAGATCTCAACAGTAGTAGATTTATTGTTTTGTGGCTTTGTCACACAATATACCACCTATAGTCATGAGCTGCAAATGGCTCCTGTGCCTCTTTTTCATGGCCTCTGAAGACTGGAGCAGATTCCCCCAAATCAACCACAAACAGTTGAATAATGGTGGTACAACTTTTTTTTTATTTGTGCAGGGGTGATGGGGAGAGAAGAAAAAAACAACTTCAAGTAAAATAGTTAAGCTTCCAACGAGCTGAAAGCAGCTGTTTTGCATGAAGGAGAGAAGGAAAGTCTGAAAATGAACAACCTGTCATTTCTAATGACATAATAATCACACTGTATTCAATTATTTTGGCATCAGTGAGTTACACTGAACAGCCAGTGGCCAATTCAAATCAGATGACTTTCTGGTTTCTTTTTCTGGAAACAATATCATCGATGAAAAGGAGTTGCATTCTGTGTAAGCAAACAAGTGGCTAAATGTGTTGAGAATCACAGAGCACACAGCGATTGTACAATGTCTATCCAAATTCAAGGCAAGCCATTCAATATCACCATTATACAAATCTACGCCCCAACTATAGACTAAGATGATGAACTTTTTTACAGTGAGCTTCAATGTGCTCTCAAGCAAATACAAAAAAAGGATCTTTGTATATTATGGGTGATTTCAATGCAAAGGTAAGCCAAGGAGAAGTTGCAAGAATAGTAGGCAAGTTTGGGCTAGGTGAACAGAATGAAGCTGGCAATCAACTGGTGCAATTTTGTCAGAAAAGTCATCTCAGCATAATGAATACATAGTTTATACAACACAAGCAATGTTTCTATATGTGGACAGCACAAAAAGGATAATCAGATACTTTATTTTAGGCCAACAACCCTGGAAAGATTCAATTGCATCTGTTAAGACAGTTCCTGGTGCTGATTGTAACTCAGACCTGTACAGCATTCTGGATCTCCTGAGTTCCTGGCATATTTATCACATTTCTTATCTGAAATATAACACCATTTTCAGAAAAAGATTTTGTTGTGCTCTATGGAACTTGCTTCTAAGTAAGTTCTATCTAATCATAGCATTAACAATTAACACCTACCCAAAAGAGAAATTCCACACTTAGAAACCAGGAGAATGTGAGCTTTCAACTTTTAAAATCAGTTGTAACATGCTTACCCCATTCTTATCGAAAGCTTTGAACATGCTTTCCACATAATCCGATGCTTCTTGATTATTATGAACCCCAAAGAATCGTTTGAATTCATGCTTGAAGAGTGTCCCACTTGGACATTCCATTACAAACTTCTTATACCATTCCTGCAATTCAGCCACATCAATCTCAACCTGTTCTCCTTGTTCATTAGTGAAGTGTTGTCCCATGTTGCTTTGAAAGATGGAGAATAAATATTTGCTATTTCTTTCTTCTCAGTTTTCTTCTTGCAAACTTTTATTTCTTCTTCTTAGAAATTTAATTTATCTTTTTTTCAGTGACTATTGCACATGCAAGCTGGACTTCCTCTCCTCATGTTCCTTTTTACTTGCAGCCTCTATTCAATCTTGTTGCAGAATTTTCTCACTGTTTCATCTTCATGTACTTTCCCTGAATTATAAGATAAAAATATCTTAGTTCATTTAAAAGATTCCCACATACGTAGCACAATATCTCAGCACAATCCTTTAGTTGGAACTCCCAGATTGGTCTTTGATGCTAATCTACTAATATGAATGTTACCCGATTAACAATTATTTATAACCTCATTTTGTTGACCTAATTTGAACCATCTGTGAACTTATCACAATCGTTTTCCCTCAAGTTGAGCAGCATATCTATAAAACAACAACCCTGCTGCTTATTTCAAATTATGTGAGTTATTCAGAAATGGAGATGAGATTAAATCTAAATCATTTTGTTGATTTTCTTTATAATGCATAATCAATGACATAAGGGTTGGCTTGCTAAAGCAAAGTATGACTTATTTGTGTTGGGCTTAATATGTTATGTAAAGCTAGCCATTGTAGCCATGATTTAATGTTTTAATAATGACTGTCTTATTCATTTACTGTTTTACTGGATTGTTGTACGCTGCCCATAGTCAATTTCCATGATGAGCAGTCATATACATTTGATAAATAAATCAATAACTTAAAGGTTTTGTGAATCTAGATAATTATACTTCATAATTCAACTAGTTATAACAGTAAGATATGAATGCTTAACAATAGCTTTCAATTTTTCAAGCTTTTAAAGGAAATAAATTTACTTGCTTTCTTCCCAAAATGGCAGTTTGCCTGTTATACTGAATTCCTTAGCAAGCATTTATTTTACAAATATAAGTTTTTCTAAAGTTATCATCTTATTTCATTATTAAATTAACAGCTTATCCCAATTCGCTTGTCATTCAATCATTCCCTTATTACACCAGACCAAACTTTTGTTTTCGAATTAAAAAGAAACAACCTGTCATTTTAAATAGGCCGGAACCCTCTGATAAACAGATATGTCCTATTCCAAGAAGATTAGCAGAGGGATTAGAGGAAACAATAATCTCCGTTATTATAATAGCAGGACTGGAATGGATTAAAGGGGCTAGACTGTACATCAGGTCTATTTCAAGCAAAATGCAACCCCACATAATATAATAATGAACTGAAATGCCTGCTCAAATATTAGAATATTAACTTAAATCAATATTTCATCTATTTGTATAATTTCTATGTTGTCTCCATTCAAGATTTATGGCATAATAACAATAAAATAGGTGAACATGTAATTAGTATTTTAAAATACATATATAATTAAATCATTTTGGCCCTTCCCCTTGTATGCTTGTTTAGATTGATTTGATCCAGCTTTTCCTCATCATCAATCAAAATGGTTTTGACTGTCCCCTAGCATTATGCTATCAGAATTCATTTTTTCTTTTACTTAAATCTAAAACCATAGTGGGTTAAGTTTGTTAGAACCAATAAAAATGATTCATAAGAGTGTAGCATTTTCAAACTCTCAACAGCTATTCTTCAATGTTTTGCAAAAAGTTAGAGATGAAGAAACTCCCCAAATTAGGCCAGATATTTTAAGCTACAAGATTTTTTTTATTCTTCAGGCACAGTGATCCAGTGGCTTAATGATGCTAGAGAAGGTCTATACACCGGTGGTTCAAGTCCGAGCACCACGTGATAAGTGAGCTCCCATCACTTGCCTCAACTTCTGCCAACCTAGCAGTTTGAAAGCATGTTACATGCAAGTAGGTTAATAGATACCACTTCCATGGGGAAAAAAAACTGTTTCAAGCAGCAGTATGAATTCAATCAGTCCTGGATCTGCCTGAACGCAATATCCAAATGAGAGGTGACATTGGTAGTGGGAAAAGCTGGAGATGACACTACAGAATGCCGTCAGGCCTTCTGAGTGTGGAGCTAATTCGCCCCCTATGGTGCACTGAAGCTGAACTGAACGGACTAGCAATCATCAGCCAAATTTTGTATTAACACTATAGTCTCCTGGCCAATATAATATTACCGTACACTAACTCTTATTCTGTTAGAGTCTCAAGATAGACTGTAGATTGAATACAGTATTAGTGTAGAAAGGGGCAAAGATAATTATTGTTTTCTCCTTATTAGTTTCCAGAAGAGACTTGTATTAAATCAACAGTAAACATCAAAAAGAGTCTGGTAGTACCATTTCAGACTAACAAATATAATGAAAAAGTATACATTCTTGTGAGTTACAGTTCACCGTTTCTAACAGAGTGGTTACACTAGAGTAGATAAACTGGAATAAAGTAGGGGAAAGGAGGGGTTATGCAGATACAGTACAGACTATTTGTGAAGCAGATTAGAAGAACCTTATCTATTAGCAACTGTCATTTGTTTAAAATATGTTGATCATTCTTTTAGCCATCTTCCTGTCCCTTCCAGACTGCTGAACTCTTAATATTATCTTCTCAGATCTCAAACATTTTTTTGGCCAATAAGAATATATGGATACACAGCAATTAATCAAGAATCATACTAACATTCCTGTTGATCCAAATATGACCATAATGGAAGACAAGAAGTCAAACCACGAGTTACTGTACCAGCTGACTACCCTGTTTTCTGAAATGATTATTTGCCATAGAAGGCAAATTATATTGCGGTTGAAAACCAACTAAAGCAGAAAAATAAATCTGCATTCACTTCTATGACTGATATTCTATTAGGTGGATTATAACAAAAGCTTATTAGTGCTTAAAGCCATTTAAACTCTTTTAAACTGAACATATTTGTCCATGCTTAGTAATACTTACGTGATTTTATATTATGAATCTCCAGTTTGGGATATTGAGAAGCGATAGAAACCAAGGACAAGGCGTTTCTTGCTATGCTTCAGTCATTCAGTGACTTTTGGTTCTCCTTAAGTTGATGGACATCATTTCACCAGAACTCTTTGTCAGTAACCATTTCTCTCTTGCAAGTTCATATCTGTGTCATCAGCGATAGCATCCGGCCACTTGTTTTCTGTCAGTCTCTTTTTAAATTGCTTTAAAGTTTTCTAGGCCTCAGAGTCTTCTCCAAGGACTCTAATTAAATGATTAAATTTTACATCATTATTAGAGTTTCCAGGGTAACAGTCTAGTTTTATTTGATCTAGTATTGAATTATTTGTTCTTGTAGTACAAGGTATTCTCAAACATGCTGTTTCAAAATCAACTATGTGAAACAAGATTCCACATGCTCAAGCCATCACTATAGTGTTGCATCACTGCTATGTAAATTTGGATATTAATGATTAGTTCTCAGGAAGACAAAATAGCTTCTCTGTATTTGAAATAACATCATCATGATTCTAATTACAATTAAAGACTCTTTACACTGATAACAGGGGATATCTATTATTTTATCTTTATGGCATTTTGGAAATAATAACCAAATGTATCTTTATCATTTCAGAGATGCCTGCTTGAATGTGAGTATTCTTAAAAACAACATAACAGAACAACAGTGTCTATGCCAATGGTATTGTTGTATAAAATCACAAGTGACATGGAATTAGGAATCATCTAATTTAATTTCCTACCAAGAAAACCACTTATTGCTAATAGCAATAATGGACATCAGCTTCTGTTTAAAGCATGAACACTAACTTTAGAGCAGGGGTGTCAAACTGCTGGCCCGCGGGCTGGATGTGTCATCGGGAAACCATTGCCCGCAATGGCGAAAAAGCTCCAATATGCTGAGCAACGTCATGTGATGTCGCAAGTTTGACATGTCTGCTTTAGAGGAAATCTTGATTGAAAGTTACCTAGAGTTGCCTCAGGCAGGACGAGTAGTATAAACAAACAAACAAACAAATTCCACTGATCAACACTGTACACTGTTTTGCCTCAAAACAAAACCAAAGAAATCACATTATCATTTACTTCTATTGCATAGATTTATTAAACCCATTATAGTGTGTTAAATGTTCATACAAGATAAGGAAGCAACAGCAAAAAAGTATGCCTTGCCTTGGACAGCCAAAATCATCAGCTGTCGAAGGCAAGGCATACTTTTAAAACATCCTATACTAATATGCACTTTTAGCAAACATGAGCACAAAGATTTTCCCAGTTAAGAACTCTGGGAGGATTTAACGAAAATGATTACTCATTTTCTTTTAGTCTATTTATAAAGCATGTTCTCACATGTTAGCTATGTTAAAGAAAGAAAGAAATTCAGAAAATGCCAGCAACAGGATGGGATCAAATCTTTGCTGGCTATAAGAAAGGTAAAGGAAGAGGGAAAAGGTATCATTTGGCATAATAGCATTTATTACAGCTTAAGAGTTTAATACAGAAGGGTGGAATACAAAATTCCATTATGAGTTTTTTTGCTACTGTTTAATGGTCAGCTATGAGCTCTTTCAGGTACAAAAGATTATTAACATAGTCAATTTGGTATTCAGGTTTGCTCTAGAAAATATATTCAGCATTAGAATATAGTACTATATTAATTCAAAAAACAAACAAGAGCACAAGATACAAGGAAATTAGTATTTCTGGCTAAACACTGGCTCTTTCACTTGACCTGAAATATGTTATGAACCACTTTTTTTCTGCATGTTCTCATTTCATTAGCCAAGAGAATACACCAACTGCTTTCCTTAAATTTCCTTATTATAAATAAGGAAATTATAAATTCAGAAATCAGCTATGAAGAAGCGCTCAGAAACAAAAACACAATTCATGCTTTAAAATTTTCTGGAAACATGTGTAATTAATTTTGCATTCGTAGCTTAAAAAATCCTAAATCCATTATTTCATAATTCAACTCTGAAGTATGTTCTTTTCAGTGATAAAACAATAGCAATATGACAGGAACATTTGTTTAAAAATCTAGCAAAGGCCAAGTAAAACACATTTCCCCTTTATTACATTAAATAATTATTAAGATTAATAGAATAACAATAACAGAGTTGGAAGGGACCTTGGACCTCAAGCAAGAAACTCTGTATCATTTCAGACAAATGCTTGTTTAATCTCTTCTTAAAAACCTCTAGTCTTGAAGCATCCACAACTTCTGAAGGCAAGTTGTTCCGCTGATAAATTGTTCTAACTGTCAGGAAATTTCTCATCAGTTCTAGGTTGATTCTCTCCTTGATTATTTTCCATCCATTACTTCTTGTTCTGCCTTCAGGTGCTTTGGAGAATAGGTTGAGCCTCTCTTCTTTGTGGT